GTTTAAAAACACAGTGGAGCACTTCCTGTATTATCACATGACAACACTGAAAGAAGAACCCAGCCTAAATATGCAGTGCTTGTGTGTTAAACGTGTGTGACAGAAACAAAACACAACTCCAGGTATGTTTTTGATGAGGAAAACGCTTTATAACAGATCAAAAAAATTGTCTAATATGAGCCTTTAATGTACAAGTATTTGAAATTTCTTTGATTGCTTTAAATTAGTTTCTACATAAAACAAATCATGCATACTGAATGATGGAGACTGACTCAGTTTTAAATCCATGTGTCATATATACAGTAAACTTCCACATTGCATTGATTTTGTCATGTATTATAAATGTCCCTTCGTGCCGCAGTGACTCTCGTCTCCAGAAACCGTACCATAATGAACACTAATCAATAAGAGCTGTTCACTGTGGCACCTGCTCCTCTGTGTATGACTCATTTCCTCTACTCTCATTATTACAGGGTTAGTGGAAGAGTCTAGACTACGTATTTATATAAAGAGCTCATTAAAATCTGTATTTAAAGACAAGGCCATTTGCAAGTAATTTTACTCAAGTCTGTTCTGAGCCTGGAGGTAAGAAAAGAGTTGCTACGGGAGACAATCTATTACAATCCTTTATTCCTTTAATCCTCCATTTTATTTGATTGAGCAGGGTACAACAAAATTCAGAAACAATAACAAAAACAGGGATATGTACATGAACATATTTGAGATTTGGTACATAGATGAGTGATATGAATTATTGTTATACTTCCAAATACTACATAGCCGTAATCAGCCACTGCAAATACTATAGTACTTTTGTTATTAGATTGAAGAAATACTATTACATTGCTATCAAGAAAAAAAGAAAAAAAAATCAGCATAAATAGCATTAATTAATCAAAAAACAGAATGTATACAGGCTTAGAAATATGTCACCGATGTGGATTTCTTTGCATTAGAATTGAGACTTTCTCTTTAATTGATGTTACTTCGTTGCCAGCACTTTCTCTGTTGGCAAGACACTTCACAAACCTCGCCTAGTATGAATGTGTGAGTGGTGGTGGCCTCTCTTTTCTCCGTCTGCCCCATGGCAACTGTGGCTACAAAAGTATCTTACCTTATGGAGTGAATGAATAATACACAGTAAAGAGCTTTGGGTGTCTTTAAAGGCACTTATATAAATCCAGTAGATCATAATTATCATCATTATTATTTGTCACTGCTATTATAATAATTGGATGTAGGCTACACCCTAAACTAATGCCCATACTCTTGCTCTTAATTAACTCTTGTGAGTATTAAGCCGTGTTGAAATGTTGTTACCTCATCAAAACATACCTGGAGTTGTGTTTTGCTTCCTTCATCTTTGAGTGATTCTTTAATAGTACTTTGTCTACATTTCCAAATTCTCAAAATGCTCGCTCTAAGGCCTGATGAAGACCACTTGGGTCAAAACATGTTGGCTTTGGCCATCTAAATAAAGGCCTTTTAATTATACATTTTTCCTTGTGTGATTTTTACTTCTTTGGGGTGCCTGGATTCTGTTGTGTTTAAAGTTTTGATCCTTTTTCCAAGAGCATCCACTACTTGCGCCAACTGACTGGAACGCCTGCAGCAAACAGCCACATTTTTTTTGTTTTCTCTGCTCAAAATGCTCAGTTCCACCTTGTGATGTCACGAAGCAGTAGTTTTAAAGTCAACAGCTATAGCCTATAGTTTACATTTTGTTTCATAGAGATAACGTTGCTGAAATTATCCAAATGATTCTAGTGAAGGTGTATGGAGTTTAAAAACACAGTTGTGCACTTCCTGTATTACCACATGACATCACAGGGTATCACAAGGAGTGTTTTCCATTTGAAAGAATTTCTAAATATTCAGGATTTGTGTGTTAAAGAAGCATGAGTGAAACAAAACACAACTCCAGGCTTGTTTGTGATGATGAAACAACATTATAACATAGATCAGAAAATAGTGTAATATGAGCACTTTAATTAGAATGAACAATTTACCTCCAAATGTCAGACAGAATAAATATCATGTGCTTATCACATTCTTTCTTATAATATACATTTTTTACCTGATAACCTGTAAACTCTTATAATCCCTTTGTTATGAAGACAGACCTGTGCACACATATGTCACAGATTGGGTTGCGTGAGAAGCTTGCTCCTGCGTCGTAAATCACGCCATAAGCTCAGGCTAATCTGGAGCAGCTCAGATAGTGTTGCTGGTGGATTTACATTGATACCAAACCTCCCCGTGGCTTTAATGGCCGCTCCTGACAGTGTTAACGGGACCTAAAGACCTCCCCGTGCCCTCCTCCACCTGTCTGTAATAATACAGTGCCAGTGACAGACAGAGTATTGAATAAAACTTCCCTGTAACTCAATAATACATGAGAGTAACACAATAGTGATTTTATATTCATATTAAATTATATTTTATAGTAACAGTCTGAATATTTGTCCCCTTTTTGACATTTTTGATAGTATTATTACTTAAATGTGCAATAGGCCTATGTAACTTTTTGGTTGGGGGGTCTGTCACCTTCTTGTTTCTATTTATGTCATTGCTCTGCCTGGAATGTTCCACAGTATGACATTAAACACTGCTATCTTACATTTATTAAATAACAGGTACTTATGGCTAAAAGATACCTAGAAAAACAAGCATTCTGACTGTGAGCGGGGTTGCTTCTCCACAGATCCGATCTGTAACAGTCTGGTTTGGTCTCCATGAAGACAGAAATGTTTAATACCACAAATACTATGGAACATCCTAAATAAAGCAATAACATCTCAATGGAGAAAAGCATTTGAGGGGCCCTCCACTAGTTGCACAATGCACCAACAATTTTTGTTTGTTTGTTTGTTTACAATTCTAGGCTGTTTGTTGTTATTACACAGTGCTCCTTTACAGTTTTTTGTTTGTTTGTTTGTTTTTTACAATTCTAAGCTCTTTATTGTTATTATACAATGCAGCTTTAAAGTTTTTTTGTTTGTTTGTTTTTTACTATTCCAGGCTGTTGTTATTATACAATGCAGCTTTAAAGTTTTTTTGTTTGTTTGTTTTTTATTTTCCAGGCTGTTGTTATTACACAATGCAGCTTTAAAGTTTTTTGTCTGTTTGTTTGTTTTTTACAATTCTAGGCTATTTATTGTTATTACACAATGCACCTTTAAAGATTTTTGTTTGTTCATTTGTTTTTTACAATTGTAGGCTGTTTGTTATTATTACACAATGCACCTATAAGTGACTCATAACTCTAATCACTTTAAATGCTCGCTTTTAATCTATACAATTTCTCAGATATTCAGTGGCTTATGTTATACTTTGAAACCTGATCTGCAAATGTATAGCCATATTTGAACACCAGGGAGCGGTACAATGGCCATAACACAAAGCGACCATCATTGTTTTACCACTTTATTAAATTACATCACATTTTACAAAATACACATACAGTATAACCCAAAAGGAAATGAACACGCACAGATAAACAACTCTGGCCTTGATAAACACAAAAGCTTTGGAAAGTGCTGCTGTAAAACATTCTTTAATGTGGTTATGGTGAGAGCGGCTACGCGTGGCACAAGCTCCAGCTGCAGCCCAACATTTCTATTTATATCTCCAATAGTAGGCCAGCATACTATACATTACCTCACCTTCTGTAAAGGGATTAAGACTATTCACTTGTTTAGAATAGGCTATACTATAAACGTATTCAGACACAAACTAAGTATTTATAAGACTATTGTTCAACTTGACTGTCATAATAGGACACAGTTGAGTGGCGTATTGTGGAAAATAGCGTTGTTAATTAAAAGCACATTGCATAATCAAGCTAAACAAACATTTGTCCTAGTAATCAGAAAGTGAGCTGTTTTACGCGCAGCTTTACGCATCCAGTCTGCCTTTTTTCGAGTCAATATCCGAACCATAAACACGCGTCTATCCAAAATCGTCCGTTTCAAACTACATCCACAAAGAGCGCAGTGACCCTACACGACCCGACCACGTCCAGTGCTCCGCCGTGTTCGCCCGCAGTCTGTTTTTGTAGTAAAATTGGCAATATTGGTCCGTGTGACGCAGGGGAAGCCCTCCGGTCCTCGCGCGCCGGAGACCGAGGATTGCCTGGCTGTGAGCGCGGGGATGTTTGTGTGCGTCTGCTGCCCTTCGCGTGAGATCCCTCCTTCTTGTGTGTGTGGACTGTGCGCCTCTGTGGGCTCGGGTCGGGTTGGGCTAGCGCTGCGTTCAACGAGTCCGTAAAAAGCGCGACGCACCAAGAATATTTCTCTCGATCTAATCAAGATGTATCTGGTTATTTATAGTCTTGTTGTTATTTTGATCTTTGCCATTACGCATGTTTGGCACGTGGTGTCTTTAACAGTCTGCATTACATAAAACTACTTTTACGCCCACTTACACTCATAGACCTCAAGTTCCAAACTAAATTGTCAATTATATGCAAAATTTTATAGCCTAGGCTTTGGGTTTCAGTTTTCTGGCTCTATGCAACATTTTGAGGACTTTTTCCCTTTCAAAAGCTAAGCCTATACTATTTTTGTTTTAAATTGTTAATCGCTGTGGCAACGATCTTAATTTCTTATCATTCTGAAATCTATTGATATTAGCATGATTACCAAAGAAAGCGACTTGTGGTAATACATTTTTATTACATTACTGGTTCTTTAATAGCAGCATTGTTGAATCGTCGTGAATGCAGCTTTCAAATTTAGCCTAAAGAGTTAGACTTTATTACCGTTCTTTGTCATAGAAACTGCAATTTCCTGTTGTCATAAAGTTATAAACGTTGCATTTCTTCTGCACGTTATTTCTCTAGAGACTTTTAATGTTTTAACTTTTAACGCGCGTAGTCGTCTGAATTCCCACCCGTGCACCTCCCCTGAATGCGTCGTGAGCTTGCGCGCGCTCCGGTGTGTGTGCTGCTGCCGGCCGCGCGCTGTTTGTGAGGCAGAGTTGCGTGCGAAGAGCTCGACATGTCATTCAGAGGAATCCACCACCTGAAACGCGAGGAAGTGAAGAAGGCGACTCAATTGGGTATAAAGCATCAGAAGCCCACATCTGCCCCTCGCACTTCACAGCTGATCAAAACAAACGCGCATGCAGACACCGGACCTGTTATTTGATTTCTACTGGATTTATCCTTTGGCACAGTCCACTCAGTGCATCCTCGGACACGCGGCTCTTTTTTTAAGTGAATGACTCCTCATACAGCTCTATACTGGAATTAACTCACAGTAACCCTGCGTTTGGGTCAGTACTTTTACCTTTACTCATTTTTGTTGGACTACATTTTCTTAATATGATTTTATCTTGACTTTTATCCCTGATCATGACTGGATTATTTTAATATTTTTGCTAGTCTTTGATTAATTTGTATCTGTGTTGCTATTACCTTAGTGTACAGTAAGTCCATGCATGTCTAAAACCAGGACTGTCACTTTATTATGCAACTGTTATCAAGTTCTGAGCACTTTTTATTATATTTATACTTCAGTACTATGATCCTAATGTTTTTTTTAGATAAATATATTAATTTGATCTTACTCAAAGTGTATGAAGTGTGCTAATGCCTATAGAAGCAGTTGACAATCTACTCCAGTACAATTTTTATATGAGTTTATAGTTACAAATTGCCTTTATCCATGCATGCCTTATCTTAAACTTTATCAAGCAGTGTACTGTAGTCTCCACGTTGTTTTCGTCCCATGTAAAGTTCTGTCTTCTTCACAGCGCACCTGTTACCTCCACGGAGCGCCGAACCATCATGATCCCTCCTGGAGACTGCATGTACGCGGGCAGGAAGCGGAGGAAGCCCATCCAAAAACAGTTAAGATACTTGTTAATGCAACTCTAACTAACTACAGTATATACACTAATAACGTCACTCAGTGTAATAGTTGCAAAGTGTCTCTTCTTAATGTTTTACGACAAGTTATTTTTGACTTTTCTTGCCTGCAATTATAAATTTAAGTCTGCTGTCATTAGAAATTTGCTTTTTAAAAAAAAATAATTATCCAATTTGCATGCATGATTGTCACTTGTCACAATATTAAGTTTCTGTAGTTTAGTCTATACTATATGATCTAACAATGTAACTCAATAGTTGTAGTATTTGTATAGTAAATATCTATTTGCTGAATGTGTAAGGACCAGTTATTATGGACTTTTCTTGCCTATGTGAATACAGCTTAAAGAATCATTCGAAATCTGTTTTTTGTTTTTTTTTAGAAGTATAAGTGTTTGCATTATTATCACACCATGACAAGTTGATTCCCCGTAGTTTCCTCGATGCAACTGTTCTTTCTAATGCCATTGACTTTTGATTTAATGTAATCATAACTTACTTCGTTACACTTTTCAATAAAACTACTTTGTGGTTTGTTAGAACTTGTGGATTTCCACGCTTGTGAGTTCCCCTAACTTTGCCAGTTCAGTTTTATCAGTAACAAATTGCTTGCAACTTTTTGAAATCGTCCCCTGTTTTGCATATTATTTTGTCAGTCAAACGTATTTTAAAATTTGGACAGCATTGGGTTTATTAGATCCGGTAAAGGCAAGCTGCATTTTAACAAAGCTTTTTTGGCGTAACTAAAGTCCCATCGGATCAATAATTTGAAAGTAGATAGTGACACATGTTAGGAGACGCGCTGAAGTTTGCTTGTATTCTTGGCTTGATATAATTTCAGATATTAACCCTATATTTGTGTGCATTTTAAACATAAGAAAATATAAGGAAATTGTTAGTTGACTAAACCGTGAGAAAAACTTTTTTGATAAGACTTAACCCAGATCAGTGGTACTATTTAAACTACAAATGGTGCAACTTATTAACTTACTAACCTGTACATTTATAGTTTATGTTATTATTATTAACTGAAACTGAAAATTTGCTTTTATAGTGTAGTATGTTACTTTCAATTTCTTTTGTGTTGATCAAAGTTTTCAAAATGTGTTAACAAACATGAACTCACTGGGCTACATTTGGAAGTAGAGAGCTGAAAATGTGGTTTATTCGATCATGTGTTTCTGTGGTTTGACTTTCCTCTACACTGAACGGACATCTTAAAAAAACAGTACACCAACCAGACAATAAATTACTGAGATATTGAATATAATAATAGAAATTGCATGTAAGAAAAGTTAAATTTATTAAAAAAAGAAAAAAAAATATTAGGCAGACCTTGACATCGACAGTAAGTCATAGAGCAAAACGGATTTTATTTTGAAATGATTTCGCTGGTAACTTTGTGTTTAACTTGAATAAAACAACTTCACCATTAACAGTAGCCCCAATAAGGTAAACAATTAAATGGCTTACACTTTCTTGAAGCATTTCCAACTGTAAATGCTCAGTGTGTAGTGAGAGAATTACCCATTAAAGCTCGCAAATCCTCTGTGCCAACTTTTATTAACCCTCTCCTCTCATCTCACTGTGTTTCTACCGCTTTCATTATATTAAATTATCGTTATTATTATTATTAGGAAGCCTTCGTCTGCCAATGAGAAGACCAATCCTTCGAAGAGACACAGGGACAGGCTGAACGCAGAGCTGGACCGCCTGGCCAACCTGCTCCCCTTCCCCCCGGACGTCATCTCCAAACTGGACAAACTCTCCGTGCTCCGGCTGGCTGTGTCCTACCTCCGCGTCAAGAGCTTCTTCCAAGGTAGGACCACAAAAATACTCATATACTTTTATCTATTTTAAAATTTTGCCACGTATCTATTTAAATTTTTACAATTTCTCTTGGTTTTGATTGCTTTAAGTTGTTTTAATGTCCCATGGAAAACATGTTATGCGCTACAACATCTTATGCTTTGCTCTTATAATTCATCTATATTGCGCTTTTCTTTAATTTTAAGATCAGAAACTTTAAAATAAAAAAAAATAGAAGTACTGGTGATAGTAGTTGTAGCAGTAGGAGTAATTGTAATAGTAGTAGTAGTAGTTGTAGTAATTACAGAAGCAGCTTTACATTGTTTTAGTATCCCATGGAAAACAGCTATGTGCTACTTCACTTTTATTTCATTTTAAAACCTGAAAATATTTTGATAATTTTTATTTTGTCGCTTATTGATTTTGATTGATATTTTTTTCTTCTGATCTTGGCTTCATTTGTGCGCTTATTGTTTTAATATCTCTCAAAAAGCCTCAACACACTGCACCACCATATACTTTTCTATTAGAAATAATATATTTTGCTTTTTAATTTCATTTTAAAACATTTTTATTAGCTTGGTTTCTTTCTGTCTTGAGTTATCTTTGAAACTTTTACACATGCTCCTCATATATTACACAGCTGCATTGCATTTTGACTAATTTCTTTTAGCTGTTAACCTTTTTCACCTATAACAGTTTTCTCACACATCTGACAATTTAAAGCTCTTTTTATTACATTTGTATTAATTATAAGGTAGATTTTACATTACTTTTCAGAACACTGCAAATTTTCCTCACTTGCCACTTGTGAAATTTTGCATTAACGATAGCTGTCACTGTAATTACACAGCTGGATGCTTAATTTGAAAAGACACAAAGGCATTTATCTTGTGGATCGAATTTTTCTCAATTTGGAAAACGTGTGAAATTTTTGAGAAACTGTTTACTTTGTCCCCAGGGAAGTCAATTACAGAAAGCACAATATTAATGTTGTCTTAATTACAACTTATAATGCAAATGTAATGCAAATTTTGATATTTTCTTCACGTTTTATAAGTCTTTGCATTCCAATCTCTTACGATCTCTTTATTATTCTTCACACTTCTTTTACCATTCTTTGTAAACTTCGTAGCAACTATCTGTACTTGAGGTTTAGTCCAGTTTAGCTTAGTCAGCACTCAGAGCACGCAAACTTGTAGCCTATGACCTATAAGCAGTCGTATTAACAGTGAGTTCTCTTGGATAAAGAATCACGCAGGGGACAGGACTGTTGGTGAAGGGGGAGTGCCCAGAATAACCTGTGATTATGAAAACAAATAATAAATGATAATAAACTGTTCATAGATAGACTGCTGATAATATTTTGACAAAACAAATTTAACTTTTACTACTATTTCTACTACTACTACTACTACTACTACTACTACTACTACTACTACTACTACTACTACTACTACTACTACTACTACTTTTAGTATTTAATTTCAGTGCATGTTTCTTTTCTGACAACTTTTTAAAGGCATTATTTACTTACTAAAGGTCTATACTAGGTTTGTTGTACTAGCTGTTTATATCTACTCTGTATCTACATATATATACAGTAGTAGCAGTAGTAGTAGTACAGAAGCAGCAATAGTGGTTACGCAAGTAGTAGTAAGTACAGGTGTTTATCTAGCTAAGCTCTACAAACTTCAAATCATATAGCTTACTTACTATGTTTTATTTGGCTTTTACCAAATTTCTCCTACTACTGTCTATTATTTTGAAGCATAACAGCGCATTATGCAGAATTAGCAGCACATTTGATCTGTAAATATCTTAAAATCTGCCTTATATATGCTGGTATATAAGTTTCTGTTCCACAAAGTCCAGGTAAAAGTGTATTTGCCATGCGTTACTGTTGGATTTTGTCAGTGGTTGTGGTGACCATCTTAGCTCTCCTTTGATGCCGAGCGTAATGAGATTAATTAGAGCAGGGCATGAGGGATTTTGGTCTGTATACATCTGTGATCTACGCTCCACTGCTTTCCTACTCCTGCGTTTTATCTTTTAATTTAAGTATTTTCTGACCACTGGAAATCTCACAGATATATTTAAGATAAGCAACAAGTTTTGTGGGTTTTTTGTTACATGTTTCGCTCTTACAACCTGCTGCAACTTTTTATTTTTATATATTGTTGCATAATTATTATTTTACATATTTTACTTACAAACAAATGCATTTCTATTCTTTCTAATTTACACTGTATATAGTCTTCCATAGTATGATCAACCCTCCACTGCTACCTACTCCTACATTTTATCATTTTAATTTAAGTATTTCTTGATCACTGGAAAAAAAAATATATTTAAAATATGTCAAAAATATATTTAAGATAAGGTAAGAAACAAGTTTTCACCCTGGTTGTTTCTGTGTTTGAATAAGGCTGTGCAATTGAATTTATATTTGTGATTTCAAGTATTACCAAACTCTATTACAAAATGTTGTCATGAAAAATACAAAGAATTAATCTCATATGCCATGGCTTGGCTTGCTCTACCATTCAAACATAAAGCAAAGACACTTTTCTAATCTACAGTGGCTTTGAAAACGTCTCAAAATAGCAATAAACTATAAATATATTTCCCTATGCTTTCTATAAAAGTCTGTTTTGGTAGTATAGAAGAAATTGTGAATTCAAAGATGAGCCAAGTAATACAGATTTGCCATAATGTTTACCGTAAGCAGAACTAGTTTTGGACCATATTGTATTCTTACTATTAATTTATCCAAATTTAATCTAACTGACTGACTGTGTGTTCATAAATATACATCTTATCTATCTGCTTGCATGTATTAACAGACATGTCTTTGTGATCAGCCTGTTGTTCTTTACATTGTCCACTAGGAGGACTATAAGAAGTCAAATAGCAGGGGGATCTCTTGACTCCAGCTTGTACAGTAGAGCTACAGTAGACAGGTTCGGTGTTAACTTCTGCATATATTGTTAAACTTAAAGGTACATTATGCAACTTTTTGGTTGAGGGTCTGTCACCTTCTTGTTTCTTCATTGCTCTGCCTTGAATGTTCCACAATATGACATTAAACATGCATACTCTACCCGGCATTTATTCACTTACAGATAGCGTTATTGCTGAAATAAAAATGGCATTCTGACTATGAGCAGGGTTGCCTTTCCACAGATTTGACCTGCAACTTCACCTGGTTTGGAGTCCATGATGATAGGAAGTTTTAAAGCCACACTGTGAAACATTTCTGACAAAGCATTAACATCTCTATGGAGAAAAGCATTTGATGAAGCCTCCACCAGGAAAGTTTAAAACCGAGTATGCGTTGAGTGAGAGTATAGTGGGTGTTTTTAAAAGAGCATCCTTAAATTTTGTCAGTTGTTGCGTGACTCTGCGGAGGGCGGGTTTTAGCGGAGTGTGTACCTATGGCACTATATGCAAATACAGCCTCAGGGCCCAGTGCATGCGGCGCCATACAGCTCTTTGTGTAAGGGCCAAGAATAAAACAACGTTTAACAAGCACAAATATAATTAAGTTTCATTAACGGTTCATTTTAGCAGCTGAGTTTAATAGTGTTGTCATGTGAATACAGTTTCAAACTCAATTTCAATAGCAATGAAAACTCTCAATACTCTATACCAATTTCGATATCACAATGATGAATAAACAAAAAAAAAAAAAAAAACCACTTAGACAATAGAATGTAATTTTCTGCACAAATAATACTGCTTTCTTTAAGATATATATTTGTTTTACTATATTTCAATATTTTATTTTTACTTATATATTCACATTTATATAATTATGCCTTTTTTGACACCGGTCTGTTATTTTTGCTACTTATTTTGACTTTATCTTTACCATTTATGTTGTTGCTCTTTGTTATTATAATGATTTCCCTTGTGTTTCAAGATTACTCTAAAACTGTTCAAAAAACCTCAGATTTATTCATGTTCATGGATATTTTTCATTATCAATACTTGTTAAATTGAGTATCTATTTTCAGTACTGGTTTTAGCATTGATTAGTATCTGATCTTTTGACACTTTTGATAACCTTTGGCAAATAAGTTATTTTACTTTCTTAGGCTGACTGCATTAACTGCATATAGTACCTGGTGATAACAAATTTCTCAGTAAATTATCTGTTCCTTATCTTTTGAAACCCTCTATAAAACCACAATAATAAACCAGATCATGTTGCTATGGATACATCTACTGTATATAGTTATGTAACAATATAGATATGAGTTTTGTTATACTGTATATTGGTTTAGTCCTAGTTCAGTCCTGGTTTAGACCTGATTTAGATCTGATTTAGTCCGGGTTCAGTCCTGTGTTATACTGATCGATTTGGTCATTTTCTGACCAAATCCACACTCATATTTGACCACTTTTTAATGACATGTTTTGCTGTTACAACCTGCTGCAATTTTTTTTTAAACACATTGTTTCATAATTATTATTTAGTGATGGGCGTTCAGTTTTCTATTTTGCTTACATATGACAAATGCATTTCTATTCTCTTTAATTTACCCTATGCTACATGAGCCCATAGACTATATTTATACTTCGACTTAGACAAACTTTATTGATCCACAAGGGAAATTACTTGAACACAGTAGCTCACAGACTGCAATATATTCTAATAACAAAGAGAAACAAATAAGGCATAATTATTCAAATGTATATGTACAAGTAAAAGTAAAATGCAATAGAAATATACAGTAGAGTCTATGTGTATGTGACAGATCAACCTAAGCCATTCCTATTTAAAGTTCAAAAGAGTTAAAATCATTTTTATGTCCATCTTTTTTTTGTTAAATTTCAGGTCATGTTTTACAGTATTTTCATCATATTTTGGTCTTGGGTTTTCTCATTGCTCGTGTCTTGAGCTCCATATCTGTTGTATGTCTGAGTGTGTTGACAGCTTTGGCCTGCAGCCCCTCCTCTCCCAGGCTCGGTCGGTGCCCTCTCTGTAATTGCTGAACTTGTTAA